CCTGGGAGTCTCAGAGTCTGGATCTTGCTTTCCGTTGTACATGGGGACCTTAGTAAACCCCCCTAAACCCTAAACCCCTAAACCCCCTAAACCAGTTGTGAGAAGCTTTGCATTGGGAACCAAGAAGCAAGTTGTCCCATCATCCCTGTAATTGGTGTGAAAGCCACATTCTGAGTCTGAGTATGCCAAAGAGATATAAACCTGGGACTGATGAGGTGTGAGGGGGTTACATAAATCAAGGCCTATATTTTTAACATAGGTGCTTGAGGTCTAAGCATACAGCAAGCATATGGGGTATTCAAAGGAGGGGCTGGACGGATCGACAAAGCCAAAAGAAAGGAAGATTCTACATGGACCTGTACATGCCCCCCTAATTCTATGAAGACCTTCATCTTATGCGGAATCACTTTACGAACGTTGCTTTTCAATTTTCACTTAGTCGAGTAGTGGGGTGCCAGGCAATGCATTCCTTCGCAGTCCCAAAGAGTCTCGGGAGATTCTCTCATTGCCGTAAATTGTAGCGCCCCGTTGGAGAAAGGGTGTCCAAGCAACCCAACAAGTACATGGTGTGCCCCAGTTAGAGTTTCTCCGCAAGGTTTTATCAGCATTCTAAGTTGATGTCAGGATAGCTGTAGTTCCTGAAGCATGAATTCCTACAGTGTTTTGGATTTTGCCCACCTACTCTGCGGTATATGTTGATTGACTAAGAACCCGGCAATTTGTACTGACTAGTGCGCGTCCAACAGTCTGAGGCCCAGGAGCAGACCAACAGGGTCTCTAGCTTTGTTGGTACAACGGCTTATGCTTTTTGTACAGACGTTCCACAGACATCCTTCAAGCTAATAACAATTTGTGCTCTTAGCTAGAATGGACTTGCTTGGGTTCACGGATGTGTGTCTTGGAATTATTGAGGTAGAGGGTCCAAGGCATGGACGTGGTGTTCCCAGGTTTCAAAGAGTTCGGGTTTGGTTGTCGGACCACACGCACGATAGCAGATGTCTCAACATAGCACAGCTGTGACGGTTGTTGTAGGCCAGCCAAGTCGTCAAGACGTTTCAAAGTTTGGAAGACTTGGGCTGCCATGAAGTTTTGAGGCCCTAGCTTTGACCATGGGCGTGCACAGATGGCAATACTCCACATTCTGCTTTCAAAGCAGAGGCTGCACATTAGATAGATGAGTTTTTCTTTTTCAGCCTTCACTCAGGACTAAGGCCCAAGTTCTTGCAGAACAAGAGGCTATGGAGTCTAGATATCAAGACAGGCACGATGCCCTTGGCCTTTGTGGCCGCGTCTGGGCCATCCGCGCGAGTGCTGCAGGCAGGTGCTGTTGCAGACAACCTCCAGGATTTAGGTAGCTGACGTGTTGGTTTCTGGTCGACTTTTCGACAGCGCCGTCTAGGTTTAGACGTGCAAGCCTGGCCCATGCATCCTATAAAGCCCATATCCCCCCCCTGCACCTCAAGCGCACAGTGCATTTGGTTGGGAAACCCTTACCCAAACCCTAATAACCCGTAGACAACACCTATATACCCTATGTCTCCCTATACAATGCCTATGAAGGTACCCCTAATTTTGGGAAATCCTAGACCCTATATACCCTTCTATACCCCATGTAACCCCTATCTAGCCCCTTTAACGGTACACCCTGATTCTGGGACTCGCATTAAAAAATAGGCGCCGTCTGCGCGGCTGCGGGCTGCGCCCTTGGTCGCCGCGCAGGAAGGTGCGGAGCGTCAAGGAGCTAAGGGATTTACTTGCAGGCGGTTAGTAGGTCTTATATGAGCTGTAGTCTACACTCCTTAAGGGGGGGTAAATGGGGGATTATATAGGGGACTGTTATACAGGGGATACTGGGAGTTTAGACAATAGCTTATATGTGAATGTATATAGGGATGATATAGGGGTTGTAGGGGATGAAGCAGGGATCATACAGGGATTGTATTCCCTTATTCCTAAGCACTAACCACCAGTAGGTTTAATAGGAGTTTAAGAGTTCCTAGACTTCATTCCCAAACAAGCCTCAAGAGGGACCGCTGTGTTCGCTCTGCAATTCCCATTCATCCCAAGAATCCTAAAGGGCCCCTCCTGCTAAAAGAAATCCCCTTTTTCAGGATTGAAGGAGGCGTGTAGGGTAGGACTGATTTCCACCATTCTGCACCAGCATTTGTAGAGGTTCCTGAAGCATTCCTCATTGTACACGTGTTGGTTGGTGATACTACATCTTGCTGCCTCAAGACGGCACATATAATAGCCACGCGGTTGGGGGTAGATGCAGGACTCCCCATGCTACCCCATACCAGCGTCTGGGACAGGGACTGGGCTTTCTTGCGTTTTTGGCTGTGTACCGGCTCCTTGGGTAACTGGGCCTTCCAGGTTTTCTCCCCAGAAACGCATGTTTAAACTACATATGCCTAGAGGTTTTAAAGGGCTGCTTTTGTGAGAAACCCCATTTCATTGAAGCAATGAAGCCTAATCATCCGGTCCAAGGGCTGTTAAAGCCATAACGGGCCCGACCTGAAGCCTGCTTAACCTTGAGCCAAGCTGTCCCTTAACGGTTTGAACACATAAATGCGGCTACGTGCAGACATATATTCGTATATACATACGCATTTATACACATTTATACACAAACATACAAATCTATCAAAGTACATAGGCCTACTGCGGCCATGATCAAATCGGCAAAGAACGAGTAGTTCCACCAAGGGATGCAACATGATGATCAATCAGCTTCGCTGCATACAAGCCCTGACCCTGAAATATATCTTCCCTAAACCCTAAACCCCCAGTATATTATAGCAGTTTCCATTTTCTTTTCCATTATCCCAATATGGCCCCAATATATTATAGTAGTTTCCATTTTCCTTTCCATTACCCCAATATAGCCCCAATATAGCCCTAATATAGCCCTAATATAAACCCCTAGAGCTTCAATTCAGCTTTCCCAGCTCCAGGGCTGATAGTCACTCAACTCTCGCAACTATGCTTGTTCAAAGCTCTCAGGTTTAGGTTTTAGGGTTTAGGGTTTAGGGTTTAGGGTTTAGGGTTTAGGACCCTAAACCCTAAACCCTAAATCCTGATAGTTTTCCCGGAGACTTTGGATCGGGAGCAGGCCACCCAGCTCCGAGTAGATTTGGCAACTGGGTTTTTTGAGCACCCAAGCCCCACAGAGCTCTCATGTATTAATGGAAAGTCAGTTTGCTAAAGAGCATCCAAATCCTAAACACCAAGAATCCCTTAACCTCACATCCCAGGCCCAAAGCCCATTACCTAAACCAAGGCCCTACTCTCCTCAGGCGAGATGCAAGCGGAAGCGGTTTCGGTAGTCATCAGTGGCGTGGGCATAGCCGTTGCTAGCATGTTTTGGACAGCAGACAACATAAACATGACCCCACACCCCGAACTCTACGTCTTTCCCTCCAACCCTTCTTCTCAAAGAAGCCATGGCTGCCCCTGCCTTCGACGAGTCACTCAGCGGCGCGCTGCAGGGCTTCGTGCAGCGGAGCCCTCCAGGGCACCTGCCGGACCTCACTTGTCGTTGAAGAGTTGGGGGTTACGCATCAGGGGTTAATTGAGGGCTTATACGGGGGTTCAGATGTGAGGCCGAGGGTTCAGGGCTTAGAGTTAAAGGCTCCGGCGGCCTTTAAATGTTGCGGTCACGGGTGGTTTTGAGGATCGCTTTAGATCGTTATATCTCCCAGTTTGGGGTGTCGGAGTTGGGGGTTCAAGGTGTTATGTGGGCTTCATTGTTCAGCCTTGGAGCTTGCACGCAGGTATTCGGAAGTGTTTCAGGTTCAGACGTTTGAGGTCGGATGTTCCTTCCAATTAGCGAGAAGCGCTTCCATTCAGAGCCGATAGCTTTGCAGCTTGTAAATCGCCTCGTAGCAGTTGTGGGTCCTTCATGTCCCTCCATGGGTTTCAGACACCTTGTGTAAAGACAGAACAGATCCACAATGTTCGGTCAGTCATTACTTGGATAGTGCCAAAGTTAACATGCCTTCTTCACAGCATGAGAAATCATTACATATCCCTTGACCCAAATTGCCAGGATGCTAGGTAAGAAAACACAAGTTTGAATCCGGAACCTACAGTCCTCTGTCGTATGACCACGGATAGCCGTCGTACTCCGCAGTATCCCTACCTAGCCAGGATGTCCTTGCCCGCTGTCGGCAGCTTGCGACACCAGGGAGCCTGCCCAAGGACTCTGGGGTTACAGAAGGATCATCAGGAGAAGTGGAGGTTGAGGGCTCAGGGTTTTTTTCCCGACTTGTGTTGTTTGATTCTTCTGAGAATGGCTCCGTGGTTCTGGGGTATACGCGTGGACGTCTTTACTTGCGGAAGATGTCCGGACATGTGCATGGCTATCGTCTGGGCAGCATGACAGTGCTGTAGGGAAGAAGGCTTGGTGGAGTAGAGTAAGGCTTTGGGTAGAACTTAGTCGGCTGGTCACAAAAGTCAGGGCTTGAGTCACAAAAGCCCCTGTTACGTCAGTTTTCCCTGATATGCTCCTCGAGATGTAGTCTTTTGACTGTTCCGCTGCAACAGAGGACTCGCGCACCTTCCTGTCAGAGAGAGGCGTGTATCATCCTGGGCTTAAAGCGAAATTTAAAGTATGCCTGAGACCGCTGATAACAAGCTGGTTTGAAACAATATGATCACCGTGATAATTCAGGGTCAAAGATTCAATCCATGAAGGGGTCGAAGATCTTGCAGGGTCGTCATTATCATCTTTGAGGGAGCGTTGCTTTTCCTTGTAGTACAGCTCGTGATAAGCTACCCAGAGACCCTCTCCCGAATATTCAGGCGTGTACGTTACCCCCATTTTTCCTGAGACCCTCAGGCTTGACTGGTTCTCAGTTTGGAACTAGAAGAGAAATATGTTATGTAGGGATTATATTGCTTTATCCCTTTACTATTATTACGTATTTACCTAGTATTACCTATTATTGCTAGTACTATTACTACCATTATTCCTACAATTACTAAGAACCAGTAAGCAGGACCTGGTATGGCGGGCATGTGCGGCCCACAACGAGCGAAACTTCCTCATCGTCCGGCCGCCCACGGAAGAGGGAGATGCTGGATCATGAAATGAGTAGTATTTTATTTGGGGATAGGGTTTAGGGTTTAGGGTTAATGGTACCCAGTAATACCCCAATAATGGAGAATCAAATGGAAAAGAAAATGGAAAAGAAGATGGAGACTGGGGTTACATTGGGGATATAGTATTTCATTTGGGGATACTATGGTATCCATTATAGAGTAAGATAATACCTCCTTTTGGGGTATAGCATTTTTTTATAAGGAATAGAACCTTACTAGGTTCAACCATCAAAAAAACCATTCAAATGTTTCTCTACTTTCTGGTTCTTAGTAGGGAATAAGGGAATATGTCACATAGTTATCATTTGGCTCGGAATTATATTCCCTTGTTCCCTACTAAGAACCAGTAACTGTGTCTCTAGGGATGGGTAGGGTGGGGGCGTTTGAGCAGTGCCATCTCGGGTTTTATACGCTGGGCTCAATACTGAGGCACTTATTTACCATAAAAGGGTTTTGGTAACCCCAACCCCCAAAATTAGGACCCTATGATTATCATATGATGGTTACATGGTCCTAATTTTGGGGGTTGGGGTTACCAAAATCCTTGTACTAGATCTAGGTTTCCATGTTTCAATCTAGAGGGATACCGGCTTTAGGATTAATATTGGGCCTTCGAAATGCTGAGACTTCGCTTCCTTTTTCGCGTTTAGTCCGATCTTCCTGGCTCATTTTGGGGCTCCCACTGCACATATCAAGATCCCCAAGTGAGAAGACCAAAAGAACGGGCCCGTGGTTCTGGCAATGCCCTAACTCTGAATTGGAAAGTCTGTGCAAGCATGCATGCACTGTATGTGCTTGAAATCTGCTCTATTAGTCGCCACGTGCTCACATTTCTCAGGAAGCTGGCGATCTCCTGGTTGTGCACGAGGGCGCCCGGGCCGGCAGCCGCGCGCAACAGCAAGTCCCTTACAAGGATCGTGAGGGGGGGCATTCGACCCGTGCCGCTGTCTGTCTCCATGTCAAATTTAAGATGATCAAGAATCATGACATTTTGGGTAACCACCCTAATATAGCCCTCATATTACCCTAATATAGCCCTAACATTACCCTAATATATGGGTGGCTGGCAATATGGAAACTGCCAATCTGCACCCGGAGGATGGCCTGACCGATAAGCTGTTCGCAGTGGACCATGAGCGTCAAGAGTGCACGAGTCACTGGGCAGCAGGTATGGGCCGTGTATAAGGCACGCCTGGATGTTTAAGAAGGGCAGGGAGAGGCAAATTCTGTGACCTGGAATATCCAGGAGGTCTTGTTTGGCAATGTGGGGTTCATTCCTCTTCAAAAAAAGTGATGGTCCAGTGATTGTACCACCTTTCATTGAGGGTTTGGAACCGTGGGATCCAAACCACTGCCTGCAAACCCGTGCGTTAGCCCTGCAGGCAGAGTATGCTTCGAACTTCGAAGCACCCGTGTCACTTCTGTGGTAGAGAAAGTCTCGAAAGCAAAGGAATGTGGAGCCAGCAGAAGACCGATGACCTCATGGCTCAGATGGCAACTTATCTGAACTACGTAGTGTTTGAGAAGACCTAAATCTTCAAGCGCGTGTTTAACCGCCCATTCAGAACAATAGCTTTTCTGGGAAAGGCTTTTGGCATGGCTTCAGGAACCTTAAGGAACTTGAATTAAGTTACTGGAAGCTCTATTATCTACTATACACCCATATTGTGGTAAGTTAATTTAGGTTCCTTAAGAGCAACCCAGTGGTTTCAGCAGCTACTGCCGCAGCTCCTGGAATAGGGGGATCCTTTTCGATGTAGCAACCCAGCACGGGACGCAAGTAGGCCCCTTGCCTAAAAGGACAATACATTGGGTCATGCTGACAGGAGCTGCAGTCTAAACTCCTCAAAGGTGTTTACATAGGGGACTGTATCAGGGATTACTATAAGGCTTTTTAAGGGGGATTCTAGGAGTTTAGATTATAGCCCCTATAATCCCCTACACAATCCAAGTTTCCATGTCATTTTCCATTTTCTTTTCCATTTGATTCTTCATTATTGGTGGATAAGGATAATCTCCTTAAACCCTACTATAGCTCAGCTGATGCTGAAGGGAACTTTTGAGCATCAGGGTTCAGAGTTGAGAGATTCAAGGTTTCAAGGCTGTCAGGTGCGAGATGCCGGTCCCGTGCAGGTAGGCCAAAGAAGTAGCAAAGGCAGTCATTCAGATTTTGTCCAGCATCTGTTTTTTACGGCACCTATTTTGGGTAAACTTAAATGGGAGTCGTGCTAACGCCCGAAACTTTGCAGTGAGCTTCACTTACGTCTGAAAGTCAGTCGGGGCACGCTGGAGCCTCAGATGCACCCCCGAGCTCTATCGTTTATCTTTTGAAAGTTAACTTTCAGTCACTTTATTGGAGGCCCAGAGAACTGGGACCGATTCAATATCATTTTTCCTTGGCCCCACGCACGCCATCTAGGGTTTAGGGTGTCGGTTTTAGGGTTTAGGTTTCAAGATTTAGGGTATGCCACTCCAAACCCCAGACCCTTCCCAGACTCCTGCAACTTCCAGAGGACAACATTGACGAGGAAATTGCAGAGCCCTTCAAGCAAGCCCTGAAGGCAGAGCTGCGCAAGTGCCCCGCGGGAATGCGCAGAAAGCGCATGCTTCTGAGGCTTCGACTTGAGATCTATGGATAAGAAAATGGAAGCTACCATATTATAGGGTTATATTGGGGCTATATGGGGGTCATATTGGGCTTGTGTAGGGGTGATGTAGGGGTTAGATTGGGGATATATTCAGGGTGAAGCATCCTTCTCCGGGCTGTCCCATAACGCTCGACTCAGCTGTGTGTATTGTTGAAATTCTTGTCCTTGCAGCGCTGAGACGACTGCCAGAACATGATAGCATGGCAGCTGTTGGCATGTTCCTGTTTGGAGCCAGTTTGCATACTGAGGTACATCCGACTAGGGGTTGAAAATGCTTCTAATTTAGGTCAAGGTCTCTGACTCCAGTGCATGAATCAATCTCCCCGATCGCCTACTTGGAGGGTCAGGAGTCTTTGTAAGTATACTTGTACAAGCCATATAGTAATGCCACGTATCCAAATTATCAACCTAACTCCCCCAGACCCTCCGAGTAGGAGGTTTCTACACATTTCTTGGGAGGTACGTCGACAGCCGCTACGCGGATCCAGGCGGAACAAGCACTGGAGCGGCCGCCTACACTCTTTATAGAAGCTTGATGTAATACAGATCGTTTCAAGGCTCTGCCAGCCTGTGCTGCTGAAGGAGATTCTATGTTTTTCCAGAGCACCCTGTGAATGCAGTTTTTGTGCCACACCTCCTCTTTCTCTCTTTCTCTCCTCCATCTTGCATCATTATCCACATGTGGAGGATGCAAATAATCACGTTGCACTTATAGCACTCGTACTGCCATCTTCTGTTATACTTTTCGCTACCTCTCTCTTCTTCTCCGTTCTTCTCCTCCCCTTTCCTCCTGGCTCTTGCTTTCAACCCCTTTTCTTTCTTTTTCTCCTTGTATCCCTCTTTCTTATTGTGCTTTATTTTCCTTCCCTACCTTCCCTGGACATTGCATGCTGCCACACTCTCTGAGTCCCATGCCCAAAGCATCCCCCAATTCTCATAAGTTTGCATAGGCAATAAATCCTCAAGTAAATGAATCCGTGGTCCAACGGCCCCTTGCCCCACCATGACAAATCCAATGTGAACCCTAAACCTGAACCCCACGCCGTTCTCTCAATCCAAGGTGCTAAAGGTCAGGAAGTGGGCGGCGACATTGAGCTCACGCTGCTTGGCGGTCCGGAATTGGTTGAGGTTACGTACCCATTGGGGTAATATTGTGGTTATATTGAGGCTACATTGGGATAATGGAAAATAAAACGGAAACTGCAATTTAGGGTTAAGAGTTAGGGTTTGGGGTTAGGGTTGTGGGCTTCGGCTTTGGAGGCTTCAGGGATGCAAGCATGTTGCATGAAGGTATGTGGGATGAGGGATCACTTCCTGAGGTGTACCTGGTGTAGCTGGCTTTCTGCTGGGTAGGATCAACCGAGTGTCACAAATCTTGTTCTTCCTGTTGTTCATGAAGATCTTGGTTTATTTCTTTATCATCACTCGCAAGAACTCGTCTCTGTGTTTGCTAAGAAAGTCATAACTATTACCACGATGCCCTTGCTTGCGCATCTCTCATCATTCTGGTACTAGTGCTACCTTCAAAATCCGAACTTGTTCAGAAGACTCCAAAAGGGGAATCCCCCCTCAAGTCAAAATCCTTACTTTGAACCCAACCCTCCAAATCTCGGACCCTAAGCCCCAATCCTACCCCTCTAAGCAACCCTAGCTAGCCCTAGGGTTCAGGTTCCAGGGCTCAGGGTTTTACAGATTCCCCATGCATCGAAAGGTGCCACAGCAGATTTTTCTGGCGACACGACCCACAGCATTCTGACACATATCCTTCCCCAATATCGCCTCGGGAGTTGAGCGAGTGCAGAAGCCTGAATACTTGCAATGCCATACCCTTTCAATCTTTATATACCTATAATCTAGCAGCCCTAAGTCTAGCCATTTTCACCCATATAAACAAACGTTCTAGTGCACCGCCCCAAACCCCCCATGCTACCTTAACCCCTATATAACCTCCCCTATATCTCTAGACAATCCCTGCATAACCCTTATACAACCCGTGTAGAAACTTCATATAGCCCCTATAACCGCATAGAACCCTATAGAACCCCTCTGGAACCCCTATCTTAGAATCCCTGAAGAACCCCCATATTAGAACAACAACAGCATGAATCCCTAAACCTAAAACCCAAAACCCAAAACCCTAAACTCTTTACTTCAATCCTAAACCCTAGATCCTAAACTATATACCTTAATCCTAAACCCTAAACCCTAAACCCAATTGTAGCATAAGTGCAGCCCTTAGGATGATCATCGCATCCCGGCGCGCGCGGCCCCGGGGCTTGTGGTCTGGCACCTGGAGCTCCCAGCCGCTAGGACTTTAGGGTTGTATAGGGGTTGTATAGGGT